TTACGCGTGACGCAAACGTTATTTTTATATATATAAATAAATATGCCGTTTTCAAAATAAATTTATGCAAACCGACACACCTGATGATGACCGTTTGAGTTATGGTCGAAACGTCGTGAGAATTTTTTATTGTTTTATATATATTTTGTTATTTTGTTGTTTCTCTTCAACGTGACTTTACCGAAAAAACTAAGAATATGAATTACTGCAGTCACGAAAGCTTTAAATCAAAATTTAATCGCCTCTACGGGGAGGGTTTTCACATAACTTTAAGATCCTTCAACAAACTCCGGGATAAGAAAGCTCAGCTGATCGAGTCTCTCACCTTCCTGAAGAGATGCCGCGACTCTGGGGTAATACCAATCGCATTTACACTCACCTCTGCTACTGTAACTTCTTCTAATGCGAAACGAATTCTTTTCAAAACTAGCTTAGCTCTTATCTCAGAAAAAATCAGACTTATACGCACAGAACTAGATCAGTTAGACAAGACACTCTACAAATCACACTTATCATTGACGGCAATAATGTCCACATCGGATTGGGAACATGTAGACAATATGACTGCCTCTTCAGCTGCTACTATGTCGACCAAATGTAAGGAAAACCTGATTTCCAAATTTAACCTCCTCTTAAACAAAAGACCGGACCCACACACCAAAAAGTTAGACGTTAATAAAGTCGTAATTAATCGCAGTAACAGTTCTATTTCCGATGGTCTGAAATCCGTTTTAGCTAAAGGTCTAAACTTTGCAGTCACACCTAAACACATACCAGTTAATGATATAATTGCCCAAGTAGACGTTGCTCTCAGGGGCCTGGGTCACATCGCTGCAGACGTAGCAAGATCTGAAATCGCTGCAACCCTCAAAAACGCTAAGATGCCAGCTAGCAACCTCAGCAAAGATGAGCGTTTTGAATTATATAAATTAAAAAAGAGGAATGATATTGTAGTTCTCTCAGCTGACAAAGGCAATGCTACTGTCATCATGGATAAAATAGAATACAACAACAAAATTAAAGAATTACTCGACGATGGTAGTTATACAAAAATAAAAAGAGATCCCACCAACAGCCTCGTCACACAAACCAACAAAATAATTTCTGATTCAACCGCATTAATTGATCAATCTAAACAGTTTTCGTTGAAACCTTCTGCTGCCAGGCCACCAAGATTATACGGCTTACCAAAAATACATAAAGTTGATACACCTCTTCGTCCCATAGTCTCTACTATCAGCTCCCCCACCTACAAACTAGCTCGTTTTTTGTCTGAAATCCTGCGTCCTTTCACTGGAAAGACCACCTCTGCGGTACAAAATTCTACTCACCTGGTATCAACAATCAAGGGTATTTCCCTGTCCCCAGACGACCTGCTTGTCAGTTTTGATGTAGTTTCCTTATTCACCAAGGTTCCTGTACCTGACACCATTGCAATCATTGAAGACTTGGTTCATCAAGGACTAAACACTGAGGTACCCCCCCTGGTGAGACACTGTTTAACCAATACATACTTCACTTGGAATGGAACTTTCTACAAACAAACTGAGGGCACCCCAATGGGCTCCCCCCTTTCTCCAGTTATAGCTAACATTTTCATGGAGAAATTTGAGACTGACGCCATCCAGACTGCCACTCTGCGCCCAACCTTATGGAAGAGGTACGTGGATGACACTTTTGTCATCTGGCCACATGGCCGGCCTGCTCTAGACCAATTCTTCGACCACATCAATTCCATACACCCAGCCATCAGATTTACCATGGAAGTCGAAATAGATGGCAAGATACCTTTTTTGGATGTCCTAATTAAAAAGAGACCTGATGGTTCAATGAGCCACTCTGTCTACAGGAAAGCTACCCATACGGATGCTTATCTGAAACCGGATTCCCACCACCATCCATCACAGAAGAATTCTCTCATCAAGACTCTGTATCATAGAGCCCAATGCATATCCGACCAGGAACACATAAGCAGTGAACTCAAGCACGTACACCAAGCTCTTAGGGCTAATGGTTACTCCGACTATACAATCCGCAAAGCTATCACTCAAACCATGAAGAAGAACCCTCTTGAGGAGCCTTTCAAAACCATCACTTTACCCTACATTGCTGGGATCACAAAAAAGATCTCCAAAATCTTGAATAAACACAAGATCCAGGTCCGTTTCAACACATTACATAAAATCCGTGATCTGGTTCCGTCTGTAAAAGATGTGATTCCGGACATACAATACCCTGGTGTCTACAAACTAAGTTGCCTCTGTGGTAGTAGTTACATTGGAGAAACCAAACGCCATATCTCGGACCGCATTCGTGAACATAAAGCAGACCTTAAACACGGTAGGACCAACACCTCGGCCGTAGCAGATCATTGTTCTAATTCAGTAGGCTCACATGCCATTGACTTTTCCAAGACGGAGGTTCTTTGTAAGCCATCTGGCTTCCATGAGAGATTCGTTCATGAGGCTATCCACATATACAAACACAGAGACAATTTCAACCGAGAAGATGGATTCTATCTTAGCAATCATTGGAAAGATTTGATAAATCATTTCAGTTCTTGATTGATTGTTCACGCTTACAGTGCCTTTCAGACAGCATACATAAAAACAAATTTCGTCTCCCCCCTCCTCTTTTCAAAAAAAAAATAGATGGACTAGTCCTGGCAAACTGCCATCGTTGCGCGTGACGCAAACGTTATTTTTATATATATAAATAAATATGCCGTTTTCAAAATAAATTTATGCAAACCGACACACCTGATGATGACCGTTTGAGTTATGGTCGAAACGTCGTGAGAATTTTTTATTGTTTTATATATATTTTGTTATTTTGTTGTTTCTCTTCAACGTGACTTTACCGAAAAAACTAAGAATACAACATTTCCTGTTCACAGTTACATTTATGAGGTGTTTTTGGGCACTTCTCGGTGACCTGACTGAGCTCATCGTATTCTCACTGCACGCGAGTTCCTGATTTGGTGTCACCGTTTCGGTGACAACGCAGAAAGGATCTGGCAGCCATCTGAGCCACCTGAACAATGCCGTCCTTTTACCAGTTAACCAGATCATAACAAAAAACAAAGACAATTAAAGCATTCATTGAAGTTCAATAGATTGAGGTTAGACTGATGGCCGTAAAAGTATTTAGTGAAATCGCATGCTTTTCAAAATTGTGTCTTGAAAAGTTGAAGGTTTGGACCGTTTCAACATCTGTATGTATGTTGAACTTCTTTCGCATCGTACGTAGCCAACCGTGCTAATCGGATGTGCGGGGGAAAGACAACAAACTAAACACAAAAAGCAGTTCTAAAGAAATGAGTTTTCAATGTCGATGATTTAAAAGTGCATCGCTACAGTGGCTTCCTAACATCAGAAGGAAGAGCATTCCAGACGGCTGCAGAATTGCATCCAAAAGCACCGCGGGATGCAGTGATCATCTTTGTTCAATGCTTAGCCAAAAGCCGCCGCTGCGAAGATGACCGAAGTTCACGTGATAATGGTTTACGCTCCGTGACGAGAGTCGAGGTGTGTGCTCAGGTCCCCAGAGCCTTCACCAGGTGTTCTGACGCTCGGTGCTCACACAGCTTTCTTTGTGATTCTATCTTTAGTAAAATAAAACATTTCTGGTGCTGCTGAAAGACTTAATTTTACCATGAGCTGCTGCTGAGGTCATCTTCTTGAGGGTGCCACGGTGGCTAGGAGATGTTTACTACCTCGCCTGGTATACAGGAGGGCGTGGATTTGATCCTGACCATGATGCCTGAGGGTGCCACGGTGACTAGGAGATGTTTACTACCTCGCCTGGTATACAGGAGGGCGTGGATTTGATCCTGACCATGACGCCTGAGGGTGCCACGGTGGCTAGGAGATGTTAACTACCTCTTATGGTATACAGGAGGTCGTGGGTTTGATCCTGACCCTGACGCCTATTTATTTGAAGTTTGCGTGTCTCTCTTTCCCCGAGGCCATATGGATTATTCTCCGGGTCCTCCTCCCTCCACATTTAGAAACGTGCGTTCAGAGTATTTGGCTGAAATTAATTTCCACGCGATAAGCCACTTCGTTCAGCTATTATTTATGGCCAGGTCGTTTTTGAAAAATAACTAATAGTTCAGTGGGGCCTTACCTGGTGAAATAAAAATAGTTTAGTTTGTAGTAATTTCCTTACCTTTCCTATACTTTGCACTCCTATCGTGTTTTTTGTATCGTTTGTTGCGATAACTTTATGACCCGCCCCTACTGGACATCAATAAAAAAATAACTTTATAGCTCACCGGATTTCTCCGGTATAAATGAAGATTCCCATTCTTTTGACCAAAACTAAGATAAACAGTTTCGTTCACGTCGTTTGCGGTGCAGTTATTGAAGGGCTCGGCTGACGTCAAATTTACCGGATGTTTGTGTTCCGAGTGCAACATCTCGCGAGTGATGGCTCGCAACCGTGGCGAAGAGAGCGGCGAGCCTCTCCGAGCGTTCACTCGTTCGCTTTGACCCCAACAAAGGTCGCCTTTGGCGTCGTCGCCATCTATATCCTGCAATTAACAACAGTCCTAGCCCTCGTTTCGTACTTGTTGAGTTTTGGATTGTTGCGTGTCAGCTTCTCATAAAGGTTCAAATTTATGATCTCGCTTGTAATGAGCGAATATCAGCGGCTGAGGTGCCCTCTAATGAATTGAGAAGAGATTGATCGTCGGTCGTGCCTGAGTGAAAGCGTAAGTATACTCCGTTCGTGAGGGAGATAAGTGAACGTTTGATTGTTGTAACGTGAATAACATACGAAAGACCTTGTGAACTATTTGAGGGATTGTGCGAACGTGCGTATAAGGTGACCCGATTGAGAATGATGAAAATCTTTTTATTTTTTTTAATGCATAACCCTGACTTGAGTGAATGAACACCATAATTTGTGAAAATGGGAGTGGGTGAGCGAGTTAATGGACACATTAGATAATTGCTTAATCAGAAAGTTAATTAGCGGTCGCCTTTTCGTCCCGACAGACGATGCTGGCGAAGTAGCGGAAGAGAGAAAATTCGACAGGCAGCGGAAAATCCTGCGAAGATTCATGAGTTTCCAAGGTATCGACCTTCACCGGACACCTCGTACCAACAAAGCCCTGTGCCGGCCCGATCCTGACCACGGCCATAAGCTGCATGGCCGCTGTGTAGCAGTTCCATACTAGAATGTAACCCGTATCCCACATTCCCTCCGCCGATGACCGCATCGCTGGCAATGCGCACCCCGATCTCAGTCTTGGGGTGGCGAGCTGTGGACGACGCTTGGATGGGTGGCCACCAAGCTGCACAGGCCGGTTTGTCGTAGACGGCCGTGAGTCCATGCTGCATGATGGGCACCAGGGGGGTGGTGCAGAAAAATAAATTGTTGTGCTGCGCTGCTAAGCTTTTGCCTCTGCAATGCCCACCGTTGGACGGGTCTGCACTAGCTGGCTGTGAAGCGCGTAAGGGCGTGCCGGGCGATACTGGTTGGCCTGCACGTGCTGGAGGAGGAGGAGGAGGCTGTCACATGGCTTTGTGGTTACGTAGGCCGACATCCACAAACAGAACATTGGCATTTTTATTTAATTATATATATTTTTGTTGTTTATTTGGTGCCCTAATTGTGTGAAAGTCACATGTAAAAGCATTCGCTGAATATAAACTCCGCTTTGACCCACACACGGCGTGGGGAGGCCCACGTCTAGCAGCAGATTGACCAAAGGGCTGTACATGTGCGTATACCTTGTACCGAGGGCTGTTCATACGGAACGGATATTACTAACAGACGTGGTATATTCATAATGGAAGGAATTCACACGGCGTACGCATTTGTGGATTTTCGATCAGAAAAATATACATCGCGCGGCAAACAATATCCCCTTTGACCGTCCAATGGCAACCGTGGGGGTGCATGTGTCCGACTCCTCCACCGGGATGGTAGATTACACCCAACCGTAACCAGCCAATCAACGTTCATCGTCTCCTGCACACGATGCCCTCTTACACGACGGTCATGCCGGGCGGAGAAGCCCAATGTTTCCGGGACATTGACACGATTTTTGGACTGCGCGCAGGCATGGCAACGGGGACGAAAGATCTGTGCACGGACGACCTCCTGGACATGACCAAGGGCTACCTGAGCGGCGCTTACGCCCGGCCGCCCATTCCCCTAGTTGCTGCCGGGGTGGACGAGCCAGAGATGGACGGACCGCTGGACGGGTCCCAGCCGGCGCTGCTGCCCTCCAGGGACAAGGTTGGCGACGTGTCACGTTGTGCCTTCAGGCGAGGCTCCACAGGAGCTCAGTCGGTGGTGGTGTTGCCCGGTGTGTGTGTGGGTGGCAGCGGTGGCTCAGCGGCTAACGGGCCGTACTATGGACCCGGCCGCCCTCGGTTCAATTCCCTGCTCGTGGCCAACATCGGTGGCGATTTATCTGAACCGCTCCTGGGTCTTCCCCCCACCCCCTCCCCCCCCATGTCGACTTGACGTTATAAATGAATGCCTGGTCCGTGTGTAAACATCCACACTGGGGAGACAAAAGGAAACCGGGCGTAGGGCTGGCCACAACACTCCCTCATTGGCCATGCTGGCTTTCACTGATGGCACTTACCCCAACAGCCTGCAGAGACTGTACAGGGCGGATCGTTGTCTTTGTTTATTCCTACGTTGTGTTATTGCCGCGTTACCATGCCATCACTAAAGTGTGGCGAGTTGAGTATATGCTGCGAAGTTGTACATGCAAATTGAAGAATCTAGTTTAATTTAAAATAAAGTCGATGCTTTCTCTGAGTTTTAAGAATCGGAATCTTAATTTGGACTGGAGGAATCCGATGAGCTATGAAGCTCTTTTTCGTTGGTACTGCACCTTCTTTCAACCGAGATTCTATCTTGTTGGAGCTGTTCGGTTAAAATTTTGTTTTTATATTGCAATGATTGGCTGCTGTTGTACGAGAGAAAAACCCGGTGCGTTACTCGGGGCATGCACCCTCCATGCCTGACAACTAAATCCTCTTAGAATGACGTACGTCAGGGTATCTTGCAACTTCAGGCACGGTGAACAAAAATATGAATTTTCCTCGGCGGATCGAGGGAAAAAGAGACAAAAATATATTCAGTTTCTTGTTTTCTTTTTCATAAATTGTTCGTGAATTCGCAAATTACGGGGAATCTTCCAAAGTTTGATGTTACATATTTAGAATTTCGAGGATGTTTAAACAAATGACGTTAATCTAAACTGTATCGCATTAAATTCAGATGTGCGTGAAAATAGGTCAATAACACATGGATATATCAAGAACTCTAAATGTTAATAGTGTTCCGTGAATCCAACCACAAATACCATCTATTGGAATGTATTGCATTCTTTTTACGTACTGTACCTAATGAAGTTAAGGAAATCAATAGCAGTGGATCTTATTGCGGTGCTCAATCAATTTCGCCGTTATTTTATTTCAAACTGCCGGTGGCCACATTTGCTTACCTTGCATGGAGGGTGTTCTGACAAAAGAAACGCCTCCGTCGCCAGATGAAGTTTATTCCAACCGGGGGCCAGCAACAGCAGCAGGCCTGCCAAATCTCCCATTCCATCATCGCCACATTACCACCGGTGGACCCTGAGCAGGCGCTTAGCCAGTTTCTCCACAGGCCCACCGAAGCGTTGGCTTCCTTCACAGGGATAATGGTTGTGTGTTTATCCCAGAGGGTAGTGGGGAGGAGGGGGTCTCCGTTGCACGATATTGGAGATACTCTTCGCGGGGCTCGAAATTGGAGGAAAGGGTCAAATTGATACGTTGCCATTTTGTGGATGTCGCCAATTATTTTTCACACGTGCAGAATGGACCCTGCCGTATTCACCACCGGCTCAAACTTCACGTCCCTTGAAAACGTCGTTGATGGACAGTGGCTTTCACTCTTGTCTCTCTTTTATGTACTATACAAATATATCTTCTTCAACGGTCGTGATCAATCCACTGGTGGATGAAGGCTTTCCCAAATCTACCTCGCACCTGCATGCGAGCTGAATAATTGCACCATCTCCTTGGCACGTACGTCCCCTTGGATGCGTTCCATTATATATCTTCACGTTAAAACAAACCATTAATAACATGACAAAACAATAACATGTTTTAAACCATTTCGGTTCTTAATTAATTGTATTTTACGGTTACCGTCAGACCGCAGCTCTTTCGCTGACATTGCCTCTTAATACCTCTCACACCACGGTTAATGGTATGGTTTATAACATGGAGTATAACAACGCATTGTGGCTGTCTCTCTCCCTCTTCCGTTCCCGAGCATGGATTGAGTCGTCCGTCTGAACGAAGCTCGTTCGTTGTCCGTGGTGCTGGTCGTTGATGGGAAGAAAAACCGCGATTTGTCGCAATATGGCATTGTGATAAATAACGACTTATTGTTGGTGGCTCAGCTGATTGGAGAGTATATAGAGTTTATTGATAACATTGAGGTAGTTTATATTTTGGTTTTTATTGGTTTTACTATATGGTATTCATTATATAGTGTAGTGTATACCCAGTTGCTTTGTGACTAATAGCTCAGCTTATTGAAGAATATATTAAGTACAATTATTATATTGATGTAATATAGACTTAGTTTTTTCTCACATTGGTTTACTGTATGATAGTTGGGTAGTTGGAGGCCCTTTAGCGTCCATATACTAAATGCCTCTGTTGATTTTTTTTGTCACAAGCTAATCCCTAGATATTTCAATGCTAAATTCTCCTGCTTTCTAGGTCATTCACACCTATCACCGAGCTTAAAAGACGCCACGAATCTCAGCAGCACTCATTGAAGCACTGTCATCCCGACAGTTCTGTTCTTTCACCTGAAGAAGGCTGCTTGTGTAGTGGCCGAAACGTCGTGAGAATTTTATTGTCTTATTTTTGTTTTGTTATTTTATTCTCATTCTACGTGACTTTACCGAAAGAACCAAAGAAGATGACTGAACTGGTTGGAAAATGTGCAACTAAACGTGATGGGTTATAGCGACATTTGGCATGTTTGCATATGTTAATTTATAAAAAAAACAATGTATTTGCTTCCCTTACAGCTCATGCAGTACCCACTCCAGGCAGTGCTGGAGGTGAAGGACTATGTGGTGGAAATGGCCTCCAAAGTGGGCATGCAGTGGCTACAGGCCGCCCTCCCGCTCAACCAGATCAACACCATCATCTTCTTCTTCATTCTCAGCAGCCTCACCATCGACTTCCTGGGTTTCATTATCCCACTCATCATCTTCTATCTTGCCTTCGTTTCTATGGTAAGATCATCGCGGGCTCAGCGGGCCTCCTGCAAAGCATTTTATGAGTTTGTGTCCCTCTCAACAGCTAAGAGCTCCGTTCTATAGCTGCTGCTGCTGCTGCCTCTTGCCTTCTTGCAGAGTATTGGGCCAACACCGTTGTTGCAATCCTGGGTCTGAATTCCAAGCAGGGACCTGAGATTAAACCAGGTTATCAATAATGCCGAGTTCATAAACTCAGCTTTGTCTTCAATGCTTGAGAAGAAGAAAATATGTTTTGTTAAAGGTCTTATGTCATTAGTGCTAGCTTTAACATCACACTCATCTATCTGATACATAGCAAACATTTCTGGTAAGACAGTCCCTGTAAGGTTCACAAAGGACATTCACAAGAAGTAATTTGCCAATGAGAAGGATATTATCTGTCATGAGAAGCTGGATAAATTTGAATACTTTACCCACAAAGCCTCACTGAGCCTACATGACTGTTTGGGTGAATTTAATTGATGACGTTTTTTGTCGGGGAGTACATTGGAATGCCTCGGGAAATCTCACGCACGTGAGCAGTGAACACTGCAACGTTTGTACCAATTGGCCATGAACCGACTTGCTGGACCGCCACTTAAGAGGCACATCACTGCCTAGCCAGTGGGTTATTTCAGACACGTTGTGGTTCTACCAACCCTTGCGTGACCTACCAACCCTGATTTTCAAGTGGCTTAATTACAGCTATGTGCTACGAGTCTGGACAGGTTTTTGGTTAGACAGACCCACTGATGATTTCAGGTGAAGGCCCGTAAACTGTATTCCAGGAGTGAACCTCTCTATGCTCCTGATGGCATCAACGAAACTATAAAACTATTTAAACTATCTTGTATTTTACTAGGTAAGGCCCACCGAGCTATATAGCTCTTTTGCAGAAGCGACCTGGCCACAAATGATCGCGCCATGAAGTGGCTTATCATGTGGAAGTTAAAGCAGCCAAATACTCTGAACGCACGTTTCTAAATGTGGAGGGGAAAACCGGAGGACCCGGGGAAAAATCCACGTGACCACGGGGAGAGAGAGAACATTTACAGCAGGCTTCTGGGTCGGGATCGGACCCACGATCTCCTGTACACCAGGCGAGGTCGTTAACATCTCACCACCGTGCCGCCACCGCTTTGCTGTGGTCGGCAAAAACTCGTCATGAATGTAAAAACGAAATCGCCGGTCACCTTCCAATCGCGCGCGACCCTGCTCTCTGGCCGCCTCCGACGTGGACAGGTGATCTGCACGCTGCGCGTGGTGCAGCTGGGCAAGGCGTGGGAGGAGTTCCGCACGTGGACCAACGTGGTGCTCGAATACGAGCCCTGCCTCGACGTGGCGGAGGCCGAGGCCCAGTTCGGCTGGTCGCACCTCGAGCCCTACCTACACTTCCTGCTGTCGGCGCTCTTCACCGTCCTGTCATACCCGTTGGCGGCGCGCGCCTGGCTGCCCTGTTCCGAGCTCGCCGTGCTGTCGGCCGTGCTGGCCATCGCCGGATATTACACGGGCACGGGGCAGGCGGGACGCGTCCAGACGCACGCCCGCAATGCCCTCCTCGCGCAGGTGCGTCGGCCCGCTGTCCACTCCCAGAAACTAAACTATAAACTAAACAACATTTTGTGTTTGTTTTACCAGGTAAGGCCCATTGAGCTGTGTACGTATGGATGTTGAACGCCTTCAACTTCTTTCGCACCGTACGTAGCCAACCGTAATAATAAGGAGGGCTGTGTGGCTGTTTTTCAGAGGCGACCTGGCCACATGATAACTCAACAAAGTGGCTTATCGTGTGGAAATTTACAGCAGCCAAATGCTCTTAATGCATGTTGATTATAAATGCGGAAGGGAAAACTGGAGGATCCGGAGAAAAATCCACGCGACCACGGGGAGAGAGACACGCAGACTCCAGATACACAGGCGTCAGGGTCGGGATCAAACCCACGGCCTCCTGTATACAAGGCAAGGAAATTAACATCTCGCCACCGTGGCGCCCCTAAGGTGTTGGGCCACCGAATGGGAGCTCGCCCATCGTGCTGTCCTAGATCACTGCACAGGGGCGGATGCAGTCAGGTGCAGATCCTCGCATCAAGGCGCACTGGTGTGTTGTAGGTTAGTGCACTGCGCTAACCTAACTGGCGGCCTACGCTGGATTCCCGGCCGTGGCTGTAACGTCAGTGGCAGCGAATATCTGAACGGATCCGTGGCATTGCTGAGGATGATTCGCTCCTAAAATGAGTACCTGGTGCGGTGTGCAAAATATCAGCATGGGGGGGTGGGGGAAGACAAAGGTGTCCGGGTGGGGTTTGGACCAAACCCCCGGCCCCCTCATGTGCCGTGCCAGCCTGCAAAGGCGTTCCCTGTCAAAAAAAATTAAAATAAATAATAATATTTGTTATTTCTCTCTCAGCTGGACTTGAGCTGTTCTCAGAGGAAGATTGTTTACTTTTGTCTCGTATTATATACGTGCTTTGTGCTTGGTCCCACAAAGCTCACATATATTGTAAATAAATAAATAAACGATCGTTTATCTAACTTATACTGTCTTTACTTGTGAATAGTATGTTCAAAGTTACCTCAGGCACTTGCTTCACAGCTTTTCCATTTTAAACTAACATCAAGGGGCGATGTCAGCTTGCCGCTCTAGTTCCGAGCTCCCTGAACTCGTCATTAAATTACTCCAGAAGGCAAATATTTGCATTGAGTTAACATTTAACCCCAATAGCCACCTGATTAAAAACAATAAAAAAACATTCCCTCTCATTGACCGGTTTCCAAACTTAACATTGTGGCCCGTTGCCTAGCAACAAGATCGCCTAGCAACCGGGTTGCCTAGCAACCGGTTGTTTATGACAACCGAGCCGTGCTTAGCAACGCAGTAGCAACTCGCGCCACGAGATGGCAACGTGCGATTGGAGACTATGCAACATGTTGGCACGGAGACGCCCCGTCAGCGCTACACATTCTAGATGCCTCTGCGTGTGAACAAGTCTTTGAGAACATCTTCAGCGGGTTGCCCAGGCGATGTTAATGATATAGTAATAGGTTTTTACCCTTTTAGCTGGCACAAAAACTGACACCTTTATACAGGGGATCATGTTTGTTTGCATTTTTGACTGCTTGTGTTGTGGTTATTGCAAACATGATGCCTTGTGTAAAGGTGTCAGTTTTTGTGCCAGCTAAAATGGTAAAAACCTTTTACTATATCTTGTTACTGGCAAAGGAGGTCGCATAATGGTGTTAATGATGTTTAGTTTCAAGAGTGGCAGAAATGTATTGAACGAGATAGGCTATTGACATTATCCGGTGGTCGACCATTGTGTGTCAGTAAATTACTCCAGAAGGCAAATATTCGCGTTGAGTTTACATTTAGTATGCAAGTCCTGACGGGGAGTCTCATTCGGCTGACAGGGTCCACACGCTCCCATCACATACACTTTCATCGTGTGAGTATATATTCACATACACAGACAACAACAAGCAACACAACACTAGTAACACAATACTGTTTGTTCTGCCGTAACGCGGTAGTTGCGTTCCTGAAGGGCACCGCATTATGGAAAAATCTCGTTATAATAAATAATATATAATAGAGGGCAAAGCACAGTCCGCTATACAGTGAGGGAAAAAAGTATTTGATCCCCTGCTGATTTTGTACGTTTGCCCACTGACAAAGAAATGATCAGTCTTTAATTTTAATGGTAGGTTTATTTGAACAGTGAGAGACAGAATAACAACAAAATCCACAAAAACGCATGTCAAAAATGTTATACATTGATTTGCATTTTAATGAGGGAAATAAGTATTTGACTCCCTCTCAATCAGAAAGATTTCTGGCTCCCAGGTGTCTTTTATACAGGTAACGAGCTGAGATTAGGAGCACACTCTTAAAGGGAGTGCTCCTAATCTCAGCTTGTTACCTGTATAAAAGACACCTGTCCACACAGAAGAAATCAGTTAATCAGATTCCAAACTCTCCACCATGGCCAAGATCAAAGAGCTCTCCAAGAATGTCAGGGACAAGATTGTAGACCTACACAAGGCTGGAATGGGCTACACTATAGCGCGTGAGATGCGTACGCAGGCCGACCAAATACTGAGGCGCGTGGGTAGCATTTAGAAGCATCCAGCAGCATCCCACCTTGTGTGATAATGATGATGATGCTACGCCGAGGCAGCCGTACGACCGCTAATTCCGAACTCGAGTGACGTAGTTCTATTGATTCAATGGCGTTATATCCAATTCGCATCCGGGTTATAAAAAATGTGTTCCCTAATTCACTCATCGCGTGATATCCAATTCGCGTTACGAAAACAACTCGCAGCGTTATAGAACAGACTTCACCCGTATTACAGCGCTGTAAGACTACCGTCACGACGTTGTTACTGTCCATAACAAGAAAAACACCTTCTGGAAAGTCAACAAGAGTTTTTCTCCAAAGAGACTGGTCATCGGGTTTATTTGAACCATTGATGGGAATGAGCACTTACACAAGATTTTTTAAGCAGGCAAAGACAAAAACGCTTTCCAGGTGTACATCATTGTGCCAGTGTAGATCAGTGTAGAGTAAAAGACCACGACATAGAGAATTTGGTCTACACAATCACCTATACAAACTATACGTATGTTGAACTTCTTATGCACCGTGCGTAGCCAACCGTGATAATCAGAGGTGTGGGGAAAAACAACAAACTATACACGAAAATAAATTCAAAAGAAATGAGCTTTCCATCTAGACTTAAAAGTGCATAGCTCCAGTGGCTTCCTCATATCGGAAGCAAGAGCATTCCAGACGGCCGCAGAGGTGCATCTGAAAGCGCCGCGATGCGGCGACCGTCTTTCTTCGATGGTTAGCTAAAAGCCGCTGCTGCGAGGATGACCAGCGGAGTTCACGTGATGATGGTTTATGCTTCTTCACGATATCAGCGTGTACAGCATGGGCTGTTTATACTTGTGCATGCAACCGAAAACATAACTAAACAACCGAGACTGAAAGACGCACTTTTAAGAAAACAACGCCGCCGCCACCTTCCCACGTCTCTTTTGTTTGCCGGCCGCCGCGCTCCGAGCAGGTGGCCATATCAGCCCTGCAGGGCCTGGCCTCCCTGCCCGCCGAAGCCCCGCTCGCCTGGCTCCTGCGGCCCCTCGGCGAGAGCCACCTGACGCTGCCGCTGGCGCTGCCGTCGCCGAGCGTCGCTCCGTCCCTCGCCCCCTCGCTCCGCCTCAACCTGGGCCTGCCCGCTCTGCTCTACGCCCTCCTCGTCTACTCGCTGTACCGCGTGGCGGCGGGCGCCCGCGGGGGCGGCGGCGGCGGCTACCGGGGTGCGTGCTGCGCGCTGGCGCCGCACGTCGTCTGCTTCGTGTGGTGGGAGCTGTCGGCCGAGCTTCTCTCGAGCGGCGCGACGGCGCTGGGGCTGCTGCGCGCCTCCGTGGGCTACGCGCTCTTCGTGTTCGCGCTGCCCGTGCTGGCCATCGGGCTGTGCGCCGCCGCCGCGTTCCACTGCGTGCGCTGGCTCGTGGCGCTCGAGTTCGCCAAGGTGGGCGTCACGCTGGCGCTGTGCGCCGTGCCCGTGCTGCTGCGCTACTGGAACCGAGCCTCGGCCGCGCAGACGCCCAGCCCCGGGCACACATCGCCCGTCAGGTGCGCGCGCGCGTGTGCATGTATGTGTGCGTGTGCGCGCGTGTGCATGTATGTGTGCATGCGCGCGCGTGTTCATCGCTGTGCCGGCCTTCATAGGTGCTACTCGCTATAACTAGCACTTGCCCCAACAGCCTGCTAAAGATATACGGGGGATCTTTGTCTTTGTGTTCACCGCCTTCACAGGTGCTACTCGCTATAACTAGCACTTGCCCCAACAGCCTGCTAAAGATATACGGGGGATCTTTGTCTTTGTGTTCACCGCCTTCACAGGTGCTACTCGCTATAACTAGCACTTGCCCCAACAGCCTGCTAAAGATATACGGGGGATCTTTGTCTTTGTGTTCACCGCCTTCACAGGTGCTACTCGCTATAACTAGCACTTGCCCCAACAGCCTGCTAAAGATATACGGGGGATCGTTGTCTTTGTGTTCACCGCCTTCACAGGTGCTACTCGGTCATAGCACTTTGCCTCGACAGTCTGGTAAGGTTACATGGGGATCTTTGGCTTTGTCTTTGTTCACCACTGGGGTGAGAGCACGTTTAAATGTTTTGTTAAATACGTTCAACAGCACCAGGCTTAGTCTCTGAGCCATACCAACGCACACGTATTTGTCCTTAAGTTTTCACTCTAACAAAGGCTTAGAAACTTGGACTGAAGCACCTTTAGAATTCTGTAGGTTATTTTGGAACACACGAGGCTTCTTAAATTAAACTAAAACACCGTTATTAGGATTCCTGGACTTAAGCTGCAGTGGTGTTCAAGCCCGAGGCTCGCAAAGGCAGATACAAGGCTCCCTCATGAGTACCAGTTTACACCCAATGTCAATGCCCTAGAGCGGTGTCAACAGGTATTAAACGAACCAATGCAATCTCTCTAAACCAGTGAAAAAAATCCACTGTAACACATCAACCAGTGTAAACTCTCCACGGCTCTAAACTAAGCCAGTGTCAACTGTCTAAACCGGGACAAACTAAACACAGCTTGTGTGAGAACTGTCGGCTAACGACCAATTTTGCACTAAAGTCAGCAGGTGGCATTAACGGAGGTTATAGAAACACTTTTTATTTTTAAACTCATTTCCTAGAATTAAGCGTGATGAAACAAAGAATTGTTGAATTGCGCAGCTTCCCGTACCCTAATATGAGTGTTATATGTCGTTCCGTGTGATCATTCCACGCTCTGTGCCCCATCAAATTAAGAGCAGATTGTTGGAGAGGGTTTCCTCAGCTGATACCCATCCAGCTAATAGCATTCCATCGAAACTGACAATAATTTTTCTAAGTCTATGGTAGATTATGTTTATTTTCAGAGCAGTTATATAATCACGAACCACATTTTTACGTTTGTATTATTTTTTGCCCTGTTCAACTCTGATGGACACAATTCATAATTTGATATCAGACTCTTGACATGCAATGAATAACACGTTATCGGGGTTCCTTCATGGCTGGATCGGTGAAGCCTATTAATGGGGTGCCGCGGTGACAAGATGTTATCTCCCCTCGCCTGCTACGCAGGAGGTCGTGGGTTCGATCCCAACCCTGATGCCCGTATGTTTGCGTGTCTCTCTCCCCATGGTCATGTGGATTTTTCTCCGGGTCCTCCGGTTTTCTCCTCCACGTTTAGAAACACGCCTTTAGAGTATTTGGCTGCCATACATTTCCACGTGATAAGTCACTTCGTTGAGCTTTCTTTTGTGGCTCGGTCGCTTCTGAAAAAGAGCTACATAGCTCAGTGGAGCTTGTTGTATATGCCGGGTATTGAAAATGTTATGAAAATAATAAAAATTAAATGAATTTTAGAAAAGCGCGTAAGTGCAGTTATGCACATGAATTATGCTAATTAGAGAGATTGTATTAATTTATGCAAACGTATGTGATTATGCTAATGTTATGATAATTAGGCTTTGCTTCGTTGCCCAGGGTCGTATCATCAATCGGCATAAGACAATGAATTGTGTGAAGTTATGCAAGTGTGATGTAAGTATGCTAGATTAAGCTCGGCTTTGTTGTCTAGGGTCGTATTATCGATCGGTATAATACAATTATTCTCGCTTAACATTTTCTGATTGTGTCTTAGTGTGTCTATGTCAGGTCTCCAAATTCAAATCTCACCGCAGGATATAGTTCTTATAATTAAGATTATTATGCATGAACTTAGGAAGGCACCACTCAGACACTTCTGTGTTAAGCAACTTTTATTTCTAAACAAACCTTAACACTCTAATATGCGAACGCTTATGCTTGGAATTGTCAACACAGTACTCCTGGAGATGTTCCCCTCATTGATCCATACATTTAACCCTCAATGGTCACGTTTGTTAAACTGGGTAACAGTACAATCGATTATTCCTCAGAGTACGCGAGCATACACGGCGAGAGGAAAAGTCCTTAAAAATTAATGCAATGATATTCATACGAAGGGCAATAAAGAAACATGTCCCGAAGGCAAGAGTAGTTAGCAATTAATTCATTGGTAAGATTATGCAATTAAACAGAAAAAACGAACGACTAAAATACTTCTAAATGACCGTATTCATGTAACTCGACGGGCAGCAATGTTCTTCACGATCAGTTGATATTTAACGCACCACCTTGGAATGGCAACCCTTCTTGAAACACAAAGATAACTTTTGGAACAATCTCATTTGTCCCGATATGCGTGTTGTGTGTCTTCTTTGTCACTTGTTCAATAATTTTCGTAAAGCAGACACCGGGCGATGCGTCGTGAGGGTGTAAGTGTGGGGGAGGGTCATACAAACGGCTTCGTTGTCTCTCTTGCTCGGGGGCGGCCACAGTTTCTGTCCACAGCTGGGTGGAAGAGTCGGCACGACGCTCGCCGTCGGTGCGCGATGATCCCGTCGACAGATAGCGCCCGCAGCTCGTCCGCTGGCAGCTGGCACCCTGGCTTGGTGACGCTGGTGGGAGCGTGGGTCGAACCCACGGCGCTCTCGCCGGCGCTCTCCTCTTCTTCGCGGGCGGCTGGTCAGGCTCTTTCCCCTGCTGGATGAGCCGAGTCGGCACGACGCTTGTCCGCTGGCAGCTGTCTCCCTTGCTTGGTGGCGCTGGTGGCGCTGCTGCGCGCTCTCTCCGGCTCCGTGCTCTTTGGCGATGCTCGATTGCGCGTGCAAGCTCGTTCGCTGGTGGCAGACACCCATGCTCGGTGGAGCTGGTTCTCTGTGATGCTGGCTTTTTCGATGCTTGGCGCTTTCCGCCCTCTCTCCAGGTTGGATTGCGTGTCGTCGCTCGGCACTCTTTCTCTCTCATTTCTCTTGCTCTCTCCTCGATGGTGCAGCTGCCAGCTTCACGCGGACACCAGCCCTTACTTCAGGGCTGCGCTTTGTCGTTGCTGCTCAACTTTCGTGCTCTTCACCTTTTTTCCAGGAGGGCTCTTGCTGTGAGCTGCTCGTCGCTGGCTGGATCACTCACTCTCAAAACTTTAAAATTGTATTTGCACACCCCTTACACAACTCTGATAGTTTAGTACGATACAGCTTATCGCAATCCTCGATTCTGCAAGCGACTCAAAACATTCAGGATGAATGTAGAATAAACTTTCAGCGATACTCTGTCGGTCGATGCTGAACTCAGCACCTAACATCACCTCGCCCCTCTTCTCTGCGAGACACAGCACCCATTGCTAATGTCTCGAGGCCATCCCCGGAGCCTGCCCCTTTGCAAGACTGTCGTTCGCAGCACTCTTTCTTGCAGAGCTGTCCCTTGCCGAGCTTAAAAGTGAAATTCTCTCTCCTCTCTCCGCGTCTCTTGCGAGAGAGAAAACAACAACAGATGCCCACTGTCACCGTCCTCCTCCTGTGGCAGCAGCGGCCTGGCTGCCCCCCCCCCCCCCCATTTTGACCTTTGACCTTTGACTGTTTTACCATCACATTTTGTTTGTTTGCATTCCCAACCCCTCTCTTCGTGGTCTGTCCTATTAGGGAGGGGAGGCACTCTCCCTTCATACGTATTTTATGGCTACCATGTGTTTGTGTCAAATTGTTGGAAGACAAAGGCGGCCGGGGAGGCTCTGATTTCATGGAATACATTATCTGGTCTTGTGTGTTTGACCTATTTTATTGTATCTCTTTTTGAGTTACCCTAGGTCTAATCTCTTGTGATTATTATTTGGTTTATGTTTAAGCAAGATTTCTAATGCACCATTAGATGTTACCTCCGGTATTTCAAGGGTTTTATTACTTTTTGCTCCCTGTCTGCATCCAGGGATCCGTGTTTTTTTATTCTCGAGGTGAGAGATATAGCTATAGTTATAGTTTTCGTGATTGCAGGAACTCATGTACTTTGGTTCTCTTGGTAAAGTCACGTAGATAGAAAGATACAATAATAAATACTATAAGGAATACTGCAGTCTATAATGTCGACTTATTCTTATAGCCAAGCTTCAACTTCTTCCGTACAAAAAAATATATCAGTTATAATGTCCGTTTGCCCTGTGCTCTGTGTCCGTGCCTGTGATTCTGGATATTTGTTTGTGAACTGTCCAAAGCGCCAAGCAGGTCATGGCATGCGGTCCTCTGGCAACCTGGAGATTTTGCAGATCGTCGTTAACCTCCCTTTGCCCCGGAGTTTATTATTTAATGGCCTTTTACGGCCTCCAGATGCTTGGTGCTTGTGGGAGGTAGCGGGTTTGAGGGTGGTTTATTTATTTATTTGATCGATTCTTATAAAAAAATGGCAGAATTATTTTTAATATAATTTTGAGAAAAAGGCCCATATATATACAACAGGCTTACCAAGTAAAATAAAAATAGCAGAGAAATAGTTTAATATGGCAATATAGTTCTGCAGTTTAATGTACCAGGAACATTCTCTGATGTTTGTGACCGTCTCCTAAGGGTTCCAGAAGGACAATTCTTCACATTGTAGCTCAAGCGAGAGCACGACTGGCATATAGTTGTTATCACGATCATTAATAAAAAATAAAAACAGTTGCTTTTCACAATCACATACGAAAGAAGAAGTTGGCCAAATAAAAAAAAAACACAATACCCTAATTTTGATTTCTGTATGAAAGTCCCTGCATGATTCACTGGTTATGTCGTCACAATCGGTTGTGACGACATGCAGAGGACCACAACTCCATGCATGCCCGGTTGTCAAAGGTGCCTTGAGCGCTATGTGGTTGCCAGTGCAGCAACATTCATTATAGATCGTGTTTTTCCCCTTTTTTTCTGGCAACAAAACAGCCGTGTTAAGATGTTTAAACAACAGACTGAAACCCTTAACAAGGAATCATGTCTGCATTAACCGCAATAATTGTGGTCAGAATGCAAACAAAAAACACACTCTGATAATATATGCATTGTCTTTGAAACAGCTTGGTCCACACCAGAGACAGTTTTCGTTTGAGCTTCGTCTCAAACGGTGTTAGACCAGAGGACACCAAAAGGCGAACAGCACAAAGACAATGCACGATCAGAGTAATGAGAGCTCGGGGTGAGCATCTACATCATAGGACCTCCTTTGCCAGTACCAAAATATGAGAATAGGTTTTTCCCCTTTTTTCTGGTAACAAAACAGGTGTTAAGATGTTAAAATACCAAACTGAAACCTTTTACAAGGAATCATGTCTGCATTAACCACAACACTTGTGGTCAGAGTGCAAACCAACATCTTAACATATTGACACCTGTTTTGTTGCCAGAAAAAAGGGGAAAGAACCTATTATCATATTTTGGTACTGGCAAAGGAGGTCCCATGATAACATTAATTATTGTACTGCCCTATACTTGCCACCTTCAACAATCCACAATAACCTCCAGAACCCGTACAGCACGGGGGGGACCCTTATCCAGCAGTGGAGTGGTGTAAGGGTACAATCGTTGAGAGCACTTCTTTGCTCTATGTTTATTTATAGCGACTCGCTCACCTTTTCTCGATCTTGCACTCGTATCGTCTCCCGTATTGCTCTTTGATGTAACTCGCTGAGCCGCCCCCTACCGGACATCTGTGGAAAAGAGCTTCGTGGCTCATCACATTCCTCCAGGATAACGAAATGAATAACACCGATTCTCGCTCAGGCTCATCCTCTTCTGGCTGACAACGGTCGCGGCGCTGAGTTTCCTGAACGCCACGCGGTTGGAGCGCACCGCGCGGCCCTACAACTCCCCCGTGTCGCTCGAGGCCTACGTGGCCGCGTGCGGGCCCGACGCCTGGCAGCAGAGCAGCATGGCGCACACGCAGTACATGTGCGCTCACCTGGAGGGACACAGGTGAGCCGCACGACTCACAAGCGCCTCGCCTCGCCTCATGCCGTCACTTGGAAGTGCGTACGTACGTACGTTGAACTTCTTCCGCACCGTACGTAGCCAACCGTTGCTAAATCGGAGGTGCGGGGAAAGGACAACAAACTAAACACAAAAAGCAGTTCTAAAGAAATTAGTTTTCAATCTAGGTGGCTTCCTAAAAATTGTGAAGGTGAAACGTTCCAGATAGCCTCTGACGCGCATCTGAAAGCGTGCGATGCAGTGACCATATTTATTCGATGGCCAGGCAAAAGCTGTTGTGAGGATGTATAACAGCAGCTCCTAAAGTACATCACATGTACAATGGTTTATTATAGTGCTGCAATATATCCCCATCCCCTACAACTCAAAACCGTTGCCTTAATTACAAATGCTGATAACACTGGACCTCTTCCAAACAATACCCAACAACCCTAAATTATCTGCTAATCCTAACAGCGAGTGTGAACCTTAAATCCTCCAATTAATAACACTAATCTCAACCCGTAAATGTCACCTATGTTTCTAACCTTACTTACAACTGCTACATGCGATTCTCTCGCTCAAAACTCCCATTAATGAATTCCACGAATTACGTCTATCGTTTAACACGAACCAAGAACCGCAAAGCCCTCGGCATCGCCCTCTTAGTCCGAGCCTCAAACCCCTCCTCGCCCTGTCGATGCCGCGGCTTCTCCCCAGAGTGACGTGGGTGGGCCAGCTGAAGCAGGTTCGCATCTTGGAGACGGAGAACGCCCTGGAGACCTTCCTGGGCCTCCTGCCGCTGCCCGTCGCGCGCTGGATGCGCTGCGTCTATGGCGACAAGTGAGCACCTGCAGCCACCGTTGACGTCATCGGCATGGGCATCCATGATAGAGGTTTTTGGGTTAGATCGTGTAAATATATAAATGTGTTATTAAAACCTGTCACCACTACACACAGCCAACTAGTAAGGGTTGTCACATAAACAGAACGTGGCCGATTCGTCACTATTACAGCACACCGGTGTGTTGGAGAGCAAATCCACATAATTTACAATCCGAGTACGACGTTTCGCCAGTAATTACAACCAGCTTCATCAGGCGACAGCCAGATTTGTGAAGTCTTACTGTTTCGTTCCTTATATAGAGGTGTAGATGTGGTGACCACGCTTCTGCGCTTTTGCATAATGTGGGGGGGGGGGATTACTGAGGCAACGTACATTATGCATGTGCATTATGCAAGCCCTTTGAACTTGCCCTTCCTGTCTGAAGGACAAGTTCAGAATGGTCCTGAGCCAACACCGCTCAGAGCTGGGTTTGAGTCCGAGCTGTCAGTCACCTTGTGTTCAAAACCATCCTCTCAAGCAGAGTGAATTGATGATCTCATCTCGGTCAGCAGAGCCTGCATTAACAATTAGATGTAAAAATATGGATTTTAACTTAATTCAGTCCTAGTACAGCTTTGGTGGTCTTAAGTGTATGCACATAATGGCATGTTGATGTTTGGAAAACTGCCAAGTTTTTTTAGCAAGGCCTGAAGGAGCATTCTTGTGTACTTTTAAGAGGCCTTTTAAAGTCACACCATAAATAGCTTCGTGCCATCTTCCGGTTCTGTCGCATAATGTGAATGCTCGCCTCGTGAAATGAAATCAGGAGCACAAATTTGGACACGGTTGGCGATCGAGTCCCAAGAAGTGTAAAGTGTTTAAAACGTGATCAGAGTTTTATGGGCTTGTCACGTAAACAAAACGTGCCAATTAGTTACTGCTTCAGCACACCGGTGTGTCGGAGAGCAAACCCACTGCAACATTTGAGTGCCGTGACTTTTCGCTGGCGATTAAAACCACCAGGCGATTTGCCAGAATTGTGGAGAAGTCTCCCTGTCAAACAGGACCGCCTACGTGTTCAGCCGTTGAAAACGTGCAACGTGCCGAACCGTGCCCGCGCGCCACCTTCCCCCCCCCAAGGTACCCTCCGTGCAACAGCAGCGAGCGCAAGCTGACGGCCAGCGAGGAGCGCCTGTGCCGCACGCCCCTGCCGGCGCGTCACCCGTGCCACCTCAAGCGCCTCGACCGCTACAAGTTCGAGCTGACCCTCGTGACCCTGGGGCCGGGCGCCGCCGACTCCCAGCGCGACGTCTACCTGCGGGGCGGCAACGAGTTCCGCGAACTGCTGCTGCGCGTGCCGCACGGCAGCAAGATGGAGGTGAGCACGCGGCTCGAGGGGCCCGGCCTGGGCGCCAGGTGGCCGGCGTTCGACCTGCGGGCCGCGCGCTGCCTCGGCTGCTCGGCGAACGAGGGCTGGGAGGAGGCGCAGGAGGAGGAGGAGGGGGGGGGAGGCGCCGGGCCGGCGCTCGGGCGGCGATTCCTCAAGGTGGAGTACGACTGGTGGAGCACGGCGCTCAGCGGGGTCAAGTTCGCCTTCAACTTCTTTTTCTCGCCCCTGCTCAGCGTCGAGCTGGACTGAATCGCCGGGGCGACAACGGTGCCTGGAGGGGCTCGTTTGCTGCGAACGGGATTGCTGTCCCCGAGCGCGATTGGGAAATAAGCCTCGTGTTTGGATTAAAGATGTGCGTTGCAAAAGTGCGCCCCTGTTTACGCACAGTTAGTTTTGTTTTCGGTTACTGAGGCGTTGTTGTTTGGTACGCGGCGAAGTTGTCAACCTGCTCGCCGGTAGAGAAGTTTGCACGTCACTAAATGGGTCATTTCCTGTTATGTCAACGGGTGTATTTTCAATGTCTTGCCATTGTTGACAACGTTATGCCGTTTGTCAATTTCGTCGCCGCAATACCAAAATAAAGAATGGACTTAAAGCTGCCAAGGGGTTTCCTAGTTCCCTTAAGCTTGATATTAAACTGGGGAAACCTCCCCACACACAATATCAGCCGAGTCTATAAAAGAAATTCGCTTCAAGCCGAAACAATATTTTTAAGATTCAATGCCAACGTGTGAACATCGCTATTTGTGTGGAGACATATGTTGAGGCGAACTACGAAGGTGGCAACACCATGCTGTAGAACTAACCACACCATCACAGCGGTGGCAAGGTTCACAGCTTGCATCCGGGGCCAAGCGAATCGCCCGCTATCTGCGCGTTGCCCGCGTGCGTTGGCTGCCCTCGTGCTGTAACGGCCTTCGAGATGCATCGATTATCCGAGCACGCACAGTGCTGCACTCTTCCCTCTTGCTTGTAAACGGCGCGAAGGTCTTTCCGTAAAGCCACGGTAAGCGCGGTGTATTTTACACATCTGTCCCCAGGCCGGTGGCCGCTTCACGGTACATTACCTACTAACAAATGGATCATGAAATGCACGAACATGTAACCCCATATTATCCTGATAAGAGTGCGCCTGCGTTGCATGCACATTAATCTATAAATCAGGCCACACAGAGGGGAGGGGGTCTGCTCGGTTCTGCATTGATAACGTGCCAGTGTGTGCTTGGAATGTATAATTATAGTGCACAATAAAGGCTTAGGATTGTGAAAGTGTATCACACCGACGGTTATGTAAATAGCACGAGTCTTGAATTTCATGTAGAAACAAGCGTTTTAGAGTACTTGGATGCTATACATTTCCACGTGAAAAGCCACTTCCTTGAGCTATAATTTGTGGTCTGGTCGCTTCTGAAATAGAGCTGTACAGCTCAGTGAGCCTTACCTGAAAAAATAGATAGAGTAAAAAATAAAATGGTAATTCCACGATCGCGTTTGTCCGTTCCAGCTGCCCCGTGTCGGTCGTGTAAAGCTGTGCAAGGCCTGCGTGGTGTGTAAGGCCTGTGTGGTGATGCTGCAGCTGTTGTCGCCAAGTTGAGCAGCTCGCAACCCTGTGACGTGACCTTGTTTAAAGGGGGGGGGGAAATACAACAACAAAACTGAGGGGTGATGGCGGGCCCACGACACAAATGTCAGAATATGTATTTGTACTGGAGGAATCCGATAAGCTACATTGGGGAAACGAAACGACATGTCTCGGACCATGTTTGCGAACACATGGAAGATCTGAAACACGTTAGGACCAATACCTCTGCCGTTGCTGATCATTGTTTTAACGCTGTGGGCTCGCGAAATTGATTTTTCCAAGACGGCAGTACTCTGCAAACCCACCGGCTATCATAAGAGATTTGTTCATGAAGCCATCCAGATATATAAACACAGACACAACTTCAACCGAGAAGATGGGTACAAACTGAGCAATTATTGGAAGGACGTTATTAACCAGGTAAAGTCTTAACTGACTGTGATGTTTCCATCCTACCGCCTATGTAAACTGTTATTTCCGACTCTCTGTGTGTCTCTCTCTGTCTCCCTCTCACCATGTGTACCTCTTGCTCTTAGGGGGTTTTTGTTCCTGTTGCCCGGCTCTCTGACATTGACACGCTAATCTTCTCGTTGGCACACCTCCGGTGGCTGGGCCGTCTCACATTGACATGCTAATCTCTCACATTTACAGCTTCAAATCCCAAGATTTACGTACAAATTCCTTCTCTAGCTCCGGCCACTTACCCTTGGGTTGGGCCCACCAAAATCCTCTCGTTGCAGCAGCTCTTTCTCCTACGTCAGCAGTCCTCCTGCTGTGTTTGTTTCACACCTGATGACGGTTGCTTGCGTTGCGATCGAAACGTCGTGATCTATTATTTTTTCTACCTACGTGACTTTACTGAAAGAACCAATGAGTAGAGCTCTTTTTTTGCAGATGTCCCAGTCAGGGCGGGTCAGAACGTTACGACAACAAACAGTGCAGAAAACACGATAGGAGTGCTCAGTATAGGAAAGGTAAACAAATAACTTGAAAATGTACAAATAAAACTACGTTATTATTTTTTTTTATCTTACCATGTAAAGCCGACTGAGGTATTAACATATTTTTCAGAAGCAAACTGGCCACAAATGATAGCTCAACAAAGTGGCTTATGTGGAAATGTATAGCAGCAAAATAATCGATATATCAGCGCATGTAAATGTTAAACAGATTGAATACAATCCGCTTGTGTCTGTCACGTGTTCTTATCTGGTTTTCACCCACGATGCACGTGTCGTACGGTTTTCCCTCGTTATTAACGAGCTTGTTGTCTGCGATTTTGGTTGTCCGTGAATCCCATCTGGAACTTTACACGACCGCACGGAGAGAGAGAGAGAGAAATAAATTGATGAGCTAAAGTGATGAGAGAGAATGTGATGCGAGAAGTTGATGAGCTAAAGAGATGAGACGTAACTTCTTGAAGCTTTAGAAGCATCTGCAGACGTTGCGCATACGATATACTCATAGGGCACTATCATCCGCGGCATTTGCTATTCACGAGCATCTCTGGAACGGATTCCTTGCGAATAACGAGGGAATTCTATAAACGATGTTTGGCTTTTGATTTAAAGCTTTCGTGACTGCAGGGATTCATATGCTTGGTTCTTTCGGTAAAGTCACCACGTAGAAGGGAAACAATAAAATAATAAAAATATAAAACAATAAAATTCTCACGACGTTTCGACTGCAACACAAGCAATCATCATCAGGTGTGAAAACCACAGCAAGAAAATGTGTGTTGCAGTCGAAACGTCGTGAGAATTTTATTGTTTTATATTTTTATTATTTTATTGTTTCCCTTCTACGTGACTTAACGAAATAACCAAGATTATGAAGATGTTTGGCTTGACTAAGAATTGAGTGTCGATGTTTTCAGCAGTGTTATTAAGCCCTATGTAGCACCCCCCCCCCCCCCCAGATGCTATGGGCCTGATTGTTCGTGACTGATACCAACATAAAATCATCCCTTCAGCAATTACTTGACAAATTATGCTTGACAACCACGTCACATTCTAAAATGTACACGAAACGCATACATTAAGCACAGGCAGGAATCTCTTATTTGAATGGACACTGCAGGAATGTCTGAGAAGACGAATCTGCTGGACCAGCAATTGGTCCCATTAATCGTAAACTAAGAATGAAACTTTGAAATTGATTTACTCTGCGGCTCATTAACCATTAAACATTGTCGCTCAGTGCATTCGTCCCGCAAGCCGGGGACGAGAGCGGTGTGGCAGTGGAGGGGTCTGCACAGAGCAGAGGACCAGTTGCGGATGGTGTCTGTGGGGGTGCTGCCCCCATCTAAGATTGAATGTTAAACTTAAAACCCGTTTGTAAAAAAAAAAACGACAAATAGAAACTCATCACAAGTGATTAGGATGCGAGCTTCCCATTGGCCCGTCTAAGGGCGATCTCGGGGACGCCTCGACCAATCACAAGTAGCCCTGCTTGAGGCTATTTTGCATTCCCCCAGTCCATCCAAACGCCCCCCCCCCCCCCTCTAAAATGTAACCCCTCCCCCACCCCTAAGCTTCAGTCGCCCGTGGTACATCCCAACATGGACATGTGGGGGGGGGGGGGCTCTGCTGATGAGTGCTAGACCTTAAACTCATCATGCGTCCGTTACCTCTCGTGATCCTGCAATCGAATCCACCGATAACATCCACCACCACACAAGCCCATTCATTTGCTCCGTCTCCTCGGTGGGCAGTATGCCCTCTTTGAACGCGCGATCCATTCCGAACCCGTGCGTTGCCAACGCCGTTGATTATTTTTAACCTATCAACCCCTCGTAGCCACGACGTCCAAATCCTTCTTTTGCAATCAACAGTTTGAAACGATGTCACTAAGCCGCGTCTAATCTACACGAGTGCCTCTGTCCGTCCAGGTGTCGTCATCGCAAGCGTACATCCTTCCCCACGCTTCTGTGCGCACTTTACATTTGTCTTCGTATCTTACGTCTCTTGGTGAGCGACCCTTGTTCGTGAACCTGGGAGTGACTACTACGCCCTGACGACCAGAAATTGTGTCGGCACACGGTCACGTTCACTTTTCATTAGCAAGGCGGGTAGCCTGGCTGGGCCGTGGAGGGGAAGCCGCAATCGAGATTGGAGAATGTCCAGAGTCGTTCGAATTGACGTCGGAAGGGACACGCGCACACCCTTCGGTAGCAATGCTGCTCGGTCTGGCCTACAGGACTTGTCCCACTGAAACCAAAAAGAGCAACCCTGAGCCACACTGTTGCACTCATGCATGGTCATCGCAACCGCCGGTGGTTCTCAACCTTTGTTTGGCTTGCCGTGACCGCTTCTTGGAATTTGGTTTCAACCTAGTAACCCCCCTTGTCTGACCCAACGTGGTTATCTGACCCAACGTGGTTATCTGAGAAAAAAAAAACGCATGTACAGTATGAATAATGAACATCAATATTTTAACCAATTATCTATTTGCGCCCCCCTGAGCTGATAATGTCGTTACCTACTCCAAACCGTTTCGATTTGTATCAAAATATTGTTAATTGTGACAATTCGAGTAGTGAATATAAATGGCATCTTCATTGGGCATGCTCGTACTTGTTTGTTGAGCGCTCGTTGCAGTGCAGGGTTTATTTAAAAGTATTTCAACAATCCCAATGTTGGCATGAGCTGCATTTGTGGCAGGTCGAGGGTGGTGTACAGCCCTGAGATGGGATACCCACCCAAAAAAAAGGGATCGCGCATGGAAACCCTATTGAATGCCCTGGGGCTTATGTGGCTGTAAGCCTAGATAAGGATATCTCGCCAGTTATCTGCAGCATTCGTTACTTCGCGTTGACCCCACATTTGCACCACAAAAGACAGCAGCGGGTGTACGGTGACCCGTGCTGTTATAGAAATCGCTAAAATCGCCATCCCCCCCCTCCTCTCTCTCCTCCCCGATAGGGGAACACGTGACCCCTCTTAGTTGATTAATCACTTTAATTGATGCAACATTCTGCCACGTACTTTTTAATTTTCTGTTGCTATGCTTTCTCCACATTGCTTATATGATCCTGACCCTACAGTGGAACGTCATGAATGTCATATCGCACGAAAGTCAATCGTCACAGCGCAGCTGAAAGCATCTCCCCCCCCCCCCCCCAACATTTTAAACTCGCGACCAGATTTCTACCTCGTCTCCTTTCAGGACAATGTCGCCGCAGGAACTCCATAAGGGGGCCGTCCATAAATGACGTCACGCACCTAGGGTTGGGGGGGGTCAGACATTTGTGACGTTGTGTGACGAGGGGGGGGGGGTTTGAGAAATGTGACGTCACATCAAAATGCGCAAATTTAAATAAATATAGACAACACGTTCTACTTAATTAAATAGACTTTTTAAAATATATAAATGTTTTCTCCTACAACATTAAATACGCACTACAATGACAATAGTTTAAAGCGATTTTAAGCATGTTTAATTACAAAAATATTTGGGGGGGGGGGTGGGAGGTGGGGGGGGACAGAGCTTTGTGACGTCATATTTGAAGGGGGGTCTGACTTTTTGTGACGCTGTGTGACGATGGGGGGGGGGGTCCAAAATCGCGTGACGTCATTTATGGACGGCCCCATATTCGTGAGAGTCGTGAGCGAGCGAGCGAACGAGCGCGTCCGAGCTCTTCCTGTGCACCACCAACCCCCCCCCCCCCCCGGGTTCAAATCCTTGCTGCATCCACTCGCACTGCAGCCCCCCACCCCCCCCCCCCCCCCCCGTCGCCTGCGTACTTGCGCCAGGGGTCGACTCGAACCTGCGACGCCTTCACGTCAAAATGATCGTCCCGAACCTGCTAAACGGCCACAGTACAGCCACTGGGGAAGCTTCAGGGAAGATT